ATGAATGCGAAGATGCAGATGCACGAGGAAGGCTGCACGCGACCACTACGGAGCTTTAAGGAATAGTCAGCCGCCCCAATAGATTCTCCACGGACTTACGCTGTTGTCTGCAGCAATCCAACTCCACCACGGGACAAGCTTCCAGCAGGAGCGAGCCCTCAACCCCCAAGCCCGCAATAATTTGTAACAGTTCCCCTTGTCCTTGTCTAATTCTACTACACTCTACACCAACATGCCCTTACCACACGACCCGAAGTATCAGCAATGAAGCATTGTAGGAGACCCTCTGAAAAATGGCAGTGGTCCTCAGAACCCGTAACCTCGACCCCCTGGGTTCTTGTTACCTCACTGCTTGGCATATAGTTCTAACAGACGGGTGGGAACCTTGTAGTACTGTTCTATCTATCAAGGGCCCCTACATCAATGACCCTAAACCCTAAACCCTCATGGTTTTGGTTGACTACAGATTCAGGGTCTGTGAGTTTGGGGTTTCTTCTTCGGAGGAGCTTCCTAGTGTGCTGGAGTCCGTCACGGAGACTCCTACTCCCAAAGCAGAAGGCCTAGGCTGGTGTTGGGTCTCACTTCTCAATCCGGCTTAATTAGCATAAGGGCCCTTAGGGGCTATAGGATGTAAATAAGGGTTTGAGGGTTTATAAAGGCCGAGGGCCTCTGGCCTCCGGGCCTAGCGCAGGTCCCATAGATCTGTGCAATGATGCGTAAAGTGATTCTTGAGGTGTCTGTCCCTGATAGTCCCAGTGGTCCAATGTAGGAGTCGTTTGGCCTGGTGGGTGCGGTACCGAAGAAGTGGTCTGGGCTAAAGAGCATCAGATCGCTTCAAAGTTGGGGTACAATTTACTAACCATTGATATTTGGAGGAGCTAAGGAGCCAGGGATGATGATAATCCCTACTTAATCAGGAGCCAATGAGCCAAGGGAACCCCAAAACCACTGGTTAGTTTAGGCACGGGTGTTGTAGGACGCAAGATGCAAGGTTTCGGCCCGGCGGTTGAACAATTGAAACTTTTGGGTGGTTGTCAAAATAATGGTCCCTTTTTGGGTACCATAAATATTAGGTGCGGTATTATAATAGGTTCCCCAAAAGGGACCATCATTTTGACAACCACCCCTTTGAGTGTGAAAGCACTGGCACACTGCAACACTGCGCCTCAAGAGATAGCGGCAGGCTGAGCCACTCTGTTGGAGGGCTGTGGTGGGTCTTACATTCTGTATACCTTGGCTCACACCGCAAAGCAAGGACTCGTTGGTGCTCTGCATTGTTTTTTCTCTTGGTTCTATCGGGTGTAAATACAAGTAGACGCGTAAGGTTGCAATTATAGCAACCCGTCTACAACCTGACTTTTACCTTTAGCATCATGCCGTGCAGTCTCGCTTGCCTGACAAGTCATGAAGCTTCCGCGAAAGACCACTAGTCACAACAAGGAACCGCGATGCACAAATTCGAAACTTTTCCTGAACCTGCCACCAGAAGCCTTGAAGGGCAGATCTGAAACGGCAACATAATTGAAGTCAGGCGTCAGAAGGGACTACGATCCGATCCAAGCGATGGATAAAGAGGAGCGGATGCAGTCGCTGCTGGTCTTGTTTTTGGGGAGGGTTTGGCGAGCTGGGGTTTGGGGGTTTGTTGGGTGTAGACAGCTGCAGCTGAGGGTTTGGTGCACTTGTGGGTGCAGAGAGCTTGGAGTTGAAGTGAAGTCAGGTTCGGCGATTGGAATAGCCTTCTGGATGGTCGGCGCTTGGGGTTCAGAGCTTCCCTTTACTTTATCACAGTCGAAGTTCAGGGAGGAAAAGCAAGCGAGAGAGGGAGGGGGAGGGAAACACGGGCTGCGCAGTGCAGTGTGGTCGGGTTTAGAGTCGCGGGTTTTGGAGGGCTCTTTGCAAGAACAAGCTCTCTGATTGAAGGCCCAATCCGGTAACGGAACTATTGCTAAGAGGTCTACCCGAATCCTCACGTCATCGAAGGTGTTCCTACTTGGACCTACTTATATACATATACGTAGGCGTGTACATCTTTTTTGTATACATATGTACATACGTATACGCACATACATGTCTGATTTCTGGTGCAAGAGATTTCTTTTACTGAAGTTCTGTCGATGATCGATAACAGCACCAACACCAGAGAAGAAGGCGGTTGTAGCAAGGTTGCTGCCCTTGCTCTGGTCTTGGCCTCTTCCGGAATCTCGGAGAGGAGGCGGACTCTGGTTTGTCTGTAAGGCTGTCTTAAGAACTTTTGCGTAGACCCGGGGTTCTAGAGGTCAACGGAGGGGCTTGATAATTGTTACCTGCACTATTTTGGTGGTTCCGCATTGTTCTTCTGGTATAACAAACCCCAAAATCCTTATTCTAATTATGAAGGCCGGTATGTTTGTAAGGGAGGCTTGGTTTAGGACTGGACGCTGCTGCGTGTATGGCTTTGTAATCCGCCCCTAAAACTTAAATCCGAAATCCGGAAATCATCGAATTCGACGCCGGGTTCGGCATTGAAGGTCCGGTCTCTCGGGGTGCCTGCTTTTGGGATCTTAAGCTGTCGGCTCAATCCTTTGTGGGTTCAGACGGGACAGGGGAGCTTCTGGAAATAGACTACAGTACGTAAAATAGTGGCGAAAACGCCATCGTGTATCTCACTGTTTGACGTAGGTGTCAACATAGTGTAGACCGGTGAAAACAAAAAACAAGAAAAGGCCTAAGGCTCAGAGGTCTAGATTGGTTGTTTTTTTGGTGGCACATATTTGTGTCACCAGAAAAGTGGGTTTCATGACGGGTGTTGTAGTTGTGTTGTTGAGCGGACATTCACGTTTGACAGGCTTCCGCTCAGTGTCATCGGCCTGATTTGGTGCGCTGGGTCTGAACAAGGACCTTGAAGCCTAAACTCCAACCCGCAGAGCTACAAGTCTGAAGCCACCGTTGCACCCGAAGTTAACCCTAAGCCCTAACGACCGAGTTGCGACGGGAGGCTGCTGCGAGACGCACTCCCTTATCGCAGAGGTGCCATCGGGCCGACCCCTTCCTTGCCTGGACCCTCTACATGGAGTTTCTGAATATTCGGGGTCCTTATAATAAGGATCCCACTACGTAGGGTACTATGTTATGGTCCCCGATTTTCGGAAGCCTCTACATAAAGACTCGACAACCAGAAATCTTGGACTTGCAAACAACCCCAGGTCCTAGGTCTGCTTCCGCTTTGGGTTTGCGTGGAAGTTTCCCAGAAGTCACTCGCCCCGAGAGCCTTGGAGTTGAGGGTTCTGGCTGAGAGGCTGTAGGGTTCACTATTGAGGTAGGCTTGAGGGATGCAGGCTGCAGCTGTAGCCATACCGCTGCAATATTTGGTAAAGTCTCTAACTACCATGTGGCCCAGAGACTGCCTAGTGCCCCAGCAGTGCATTCTATGGGCTATCTGCTGTGTAAGTATGTGTGTTTTCTGCCTGTCGTCTCTGGTGCTTGCAACTCTTATTTATTCAGAACGGGGGACCCTGGGAGTGCACATCTGCCGTGATTTTCGCGCGCGTCTTTCAAAAAAAGAACCAACCAACCATAAAAACCAAAAAACACCATAAAAACCAAAACAACCAAAAAAACCAAAAAAACCATAAAAAAACAAAAAAAAACATAAAAACAAAAAAAAACATAAAACCCAAAAAACAGTAAAAACAACAAAAACATAGAAAAATCAAAAAAAAATCATAAAAACCAAAGATCTGACACTCTCCGGCCATGGACACCTCAGTCCAGGAGTCTCTGATAATTGTTTTTTTGTTTTTTTTTTTGTTTTTTTGAGTTTTTCGAAAGACTCGCGCGTAAATCACGGCAGATGCACACTCCCAGGGACATTACGTAGCATGGCCAACGTATACGACTAGATAGCATTGCGAAATACCACACTTGCACATCAGCACTTTTTGTTCTCAGGATGATGAGAAGCTTTGTGGGTATGCGAGGCGCATCAAAACTACAGCGACGTCACCTTGAGTACAGACTCCATGCCATTCACACACAAGCAAACACTTCAGAATTTTATCTGGATTGTTATTTTGGTATCCCTGCTTGACTTCATATAGAGACTTAAAAACAATAAGATAACGTATAGTCAAGATTATTAAAATCGACAATAACGAACCAGTATCGGAATATTGAACATGAAATTGAAGATAAAACTTCTATTAGTATCCAATGACAATATTCAAAATTAGCAAATAATTTTCTTATACAATAACGTTGTGATAAACAATAAAGATAATTCTACAAAAATGAAATAAGCTAGATTCATTGATTATGCCTTCGTCATTCTCGTAGGCTAGTGGGCGTCTGGGTGATATAGCGATCAATGATCTGTCGAACTCCGTTTGTTTTACAGTAACTACCACTTTTAGTGTTAATACGAGGACTATTAAATGGGTCTCTGACATATATAGGTAGATACCGATTCGTCGATACTTTTTGTGATTATTTTGCTAACAAAGCAAAGATGGAATGTATAGTACTGGTGATTATATTGTTGTAAACTGGTATAGTTATTTAATATTATTTTAATCTCATAGAGGCTCTTTATAGTATACTAGAAAACTTGGATGTGTATAGATACGTGCGCGTGGGAAATATGTATGTATGCATGTGTATATATATATATATACAGGTATATATACGTGAATATGTATGAGTATCTATTATTGAAATGCATGTGTAAACTGTGTGGATATAAAAAGAACTGGCACTGTTCTATGAGAAACGTTGTTTTCTTTCGTAAGTAAAAACTGAAAGCATAATTGACGAATCTAGCTTATTTAATTTGTTTGTATAATTATTTATTTGTTTAGCATAACCTTATTATATAAGAAAATTATTTGCTAATTTTGAATATTGTCATTAGATACTACTAGAAGTTTTATCTTTAATTTCATGTTCGTTATTCCGATACTGGTTCGTTATTGTCGACTTTAATAATCTTGATTATATGTTATCTTATTGTATATAAGTCCCTATATCAAGTCAATGATTTGGAAGACCTAGGCTTTCTTAAATGGGTGCATATCTATATATTTTATTGGCCAACAATTTTCTAAGCTTAAAAAACATATTATGCTTCCATGATAAATTGTATTTCGTTCTTGTTAGAGGACTTGTTCATTGATTTATATATTTAGCTTGTCCACATATCAATATGATTTTTTATTTCGATTATTCTTCTGAATATGATTGTAACTAAAGTATGATAAATACATGTGTGTGCCACTTTAAAACGCATTTGTTGCTGGTAACCCAATATGCTTTCTATATTTCGATTATTCTTCTGAATATGACTATAATTAAAATATGATAAATACATGTATGTGCCACTTTACAACGCAATTCTTGCTGGTAATCTATAGAATATCGGCTTGGTGTGTATTGAAAAATTTCGTACATCTAGTGCTTTTGTTGTCTATATTTGAACTGAATATTCGGTTATTATCATAAAAAAATGATATAAGTATTAATGCAAAAGGCATGGTTAGTGATAATAATAGGAATATAATCGAACAAAGTATCATTTATAGATCAAGAAGTTTGTACTACATCTAGAAGCATGCTCCACACACAGATATGTATATGTAACTATGTATGAATAGTGAAAAGTCAACATTTGTCGATTACTGTAAGGCACTTTATAGAAAAATGTGTGTGTGTATATATATATATATACATATGTATTTATGTACATATGCCGAGCTCTCTATTATGCGCAATGTCACACATACATATGAGGGTATATACATATATATATATATATATATCCGTACTTGTATATCGACATATATATATATATATACATATACACGTAAAAAGATATGTATATACATTTATCCGTATATCTATTCTTCATATATATATAGTTTGTATTCATACACATATATATATATATATATGTATATATACATATGACTGTAAATGTAGCTTATGATATATTTACAAGTAATAGACTTATGTGTTATTAGCCCGATAGAACTAATGAAGCAAGTCATATGATGCAAACGATATGTACGAAAGTCTGAACTTGAAATAATGCAAAATACTAATAATAGTCTTGGCATTAGATATTGCAGGGTGCCGGAAGAGTCTTATACTTTCCGTTCGCCCGAGTCGGGAAGATCGGCAACAGGTACTTTTCCTATAGACCGATCCATTTCCCAGGGTCGTGTCTCTGGTCGCTTGACCCTTAGACTGGACACATGACCAGCAAACTAACTAGCCATAACATGACTGCGAGCACGAGTGAGTGTCTGTTGGGTTGTATGCAGCAATATATACTTATATATATATATATATATGATTATCCCAACATAATTCCAGCATAAACCAAGGTAGCAACAAATAAAAAATCAAACAACTTCAAACAAGTGCACTCCCACAGCCCCCCGGACTCTATTTATTTGGTTGTCTTTTGTTGACTCAAACGTGGTTGTGCCTGCAGCCGTCATCGTTCTGACGATTCTGAAACTGCACGGTCGGTTCCGCCGGGGGTGTTGGCGCAAGTGCCGTTATGAACTCATCACCAGACGATGCATGAAGAACATGTTTCTGACACTGGCGAGGGTGACTGAGATGATTGCGTCGCAACACATGCAGGGTATGGAAATTGTATGGCCAGTCAGAAGGGCAGGTTAGTGGATCAGGAGGTATGTAAACATCCATCTGCAGCTGAATTCCGGAACCCTACACTCCTAACTCTATGCAGATTTCATTCAGACGACATGCCTGATCTTTGACTGCGTGGATTTGTCGCCGGAAATGCAGGCAGAGGAGCTTCTTGCAGAGCTCCGACAGATTGACTGCCGAGATGCACCACGCTGCTCCTTTGCCCAACAGAAATGCCGAACCGGATGAAGTACTGCTCCTGTTGAGAAAACTGAAGACACATAGATGCCTCAATATCACAGGCTTGGATACATGCTTTCCGAATTCAGCTGGTATTAGGACCTACGGAGAGTACTTCAACGTTTCCCAAAGGTCTGCACAGGTCCGTGGTCTTCTTTCAGGTCACTACTAGTCTGAACCCTAAACCCTAGTCCCTGCATTATGAAGCTTGAAATATAGCGAGGTGATCGAAGCCAAGCCCAAGGGCGTCGGCGTCTGGCTCGGGATCCCTCTAGCCTCTACCCACCACCCCAAGGGATTCTGAATATGAACCTGAAAAAGGAATTACGATGGAGCCTAAGGGTATCTTACACTGAAAGTTGTGGGTGCATGTTCGTATGCTCTACAAAATCTTGAGCCGTTCCCGCTGCCTCCTCAGTCCGGAAATATTCGATATCTTGTTCGAAATGGTTAGATAACACTGAACACTGATTACCCTTTGAGAGCCAAGGGTTTTCGCTCTGGGCTGGAGTTTCCGAATCCATGCGGCCCTGATGTCGACTCTAAATATAGGATCGGCAACTCGTATGGCGAATGCCGCATCTTGCACCCAAACAAGGTTTGGTGTGGCAGTGTCCAACTTGCTCCTTGCCGGCAGAATTCTCCTTAGTTGGGACTGTAAGGAACTTGTCTTCAGAGCTACATCATACCGGCTGTCGACGGATATGCCATACCATAAGAGATTTGAGCGGACTGTACCGAAGCAAACAGCCCACCACTTCGAATCCGAGCCTTTATACTGATACTGCTCATACGGAAGGAGGCATTTTTGGAACAGAGCATCAGGCCTCACGGCGCCTCTAATGGAAAGTCAATGCCTGAATCATGAATCCGCAGCCTCCTCAAACCCAGAGTTAGAGGTATTCGGAGTGTGGAATGTGAGTGAGAGTGCAAGGTTTTTGCCAGGTTTCAGGAGTCTTGAGAGGTTGTTGCCGGCCCTTCCGTTTTCTGGCTTGAAGGCTACGCGAGAATCCTTAGATGCAGAGCAGGTAAGCCCTTGAGGGCTTTCAGGTTTCGGTTTGGAGGTTCAGGCTCGAGTGTCGCAGCTCAGGTAAGCTTAAAGGCGTGCCACAAGATCGACATCACTACGATGCTGAGCAGCACGCACCTGGACTTTGGAACTCAGTAGGCTCCGGGGCCCTAGACATCAAAGCCTCAATGTACCAATATCAATCGCCACAGGTATCACTACAGGGTCTGTTTACTCAGCAATTTACCTTTGGGAGTGGCTTCTCTAGGTTTTCAAAATCAATCTCAAAGAGCAAAGGTAACAGGATTAGGCACAACTCTCAGCCTGGAGATTGAGGAGTCCAAAGGGTGCTTTTACCTAGAAAGAAAAAGATTGCTTCGGCGTGCCCAACTCGGAACACCTTCAGAGCGTACGGCGTACGTACTTGGATTTTTGGCCAAAACCCAAACCTGGGTCGGCCTGCCTGCAACCTCGCCCCTACATGGCACTGGAAGCGGCAAATCGAAGCCAGGCTTAAAGCCGTGGAGCCATTATTAGGGTTTGGAGGGGTCTAGGATTTGGAGTTTGTGCTTTAGGGTTTGGGGTAGGGTGTGGTGATGCATGAGTGGACTACGCCTCGGAGGTCCAGCAAGTAGCCTGTAAACCCCCAAACCCTCAGCCCTGAGCCTTTGACCCTGTACCATGGGTCTCGGCAGATCCACGTTCGCTCCCAGTTCCATGGTCCTGACCTTCCGTCTAAGCCCATACAAACATCCTGGGCCCTGACCTAACTAGAAGCCGGATACTATTATTACTATCCTATAATAATACTTATTATTATTATGATTGTTAACATGATACTATTGTTATTATTCTTATTGTTAGTATTAATACAGTACCAATGTTATCTCTAGACACCAATACCAAGCCCTAGAGACCGCGCGAAAGCCTCCCTCGAAGGTCCGGGCTTGAGCTCAGTAGCTGAGTAGGTAACCTTTAAGGGATCCATAGGGTACCAAAAAGGGGGTTCCTTTAAGGGATCCATAGGGTACCAAAAAGGGGGTTCCTTAAGGGATCCATAGGGTACCAAAAAGGGGGTTCCTTTAAGGGATCCATAGGGTACCAAAAAGGGGGTTCCTTTAAGGGATCCATAGGGTACCAAAAAGGGGGTTCCTTTAAGGGATCCATAGGGTACCAAAAAGGGGGTTCCTTTAAGGGATCCATAGGGTACCAAAAAGGGGGTTCCTTTAAGGGATCCATAGGGTACCAAAAAGGGGGTTCCTTTAAGGGATCCATAGGGTACCAAAAAGGGGGTTCCTTTAAGGGATCCATAGGGTACCAAAAAGGGGGTTCCTTTAAGGGATCCATAGGGTACCAAAAAGGGGGTTCCTTTAAGGGATCCATAGGGTACCAAAAAGGGGGTTCCTTAAGGGATCCATAGGGTACCAAAAAGGGGGTTCCTTTAAGGGATCCATAGGGTACCAAAAAGGGGGTTCCTTTAAGGGATCCATAGGGTACCAAAAAGGGGGTTCCTTTAAGGGATCCATAGGGTACCAAAAAGGGGGTTCCTTTAAGGGATCCATAGGGTACCAAAAAGGGGGTTCCTTTAAGGGATCCATAGGGTACCAAAAAGGGGGTTCCTTTAAGGGATCCATAGGGTACCAAAAAGGGGGTTCCTTTGAGGGATCCATAGGGTACCAAAAGGGGGTTCCTTTAAGGGATCTACAAGGGATTCTGTAAGGGGCTTTTGGTAGCCGAGCTGGTAACCTTTAGGCCTGTTGGGGTTTCAACCCATGGCAAAGGTTAGCCTTTGTTGGGTTTGGGTATTCAGCCCCTAGGAACTGCTGAGTCGTAAGACCGATAAGAGCTTTGCGTCGGGACCTCCACACTCCACACCTTCTATATGGGAGGTTGCGAAAATAGGGGACCCTGATATCGTACCCGAAATAGTAGGATCCTTATTCTAAGGACCCCAAATAAGGTAACCCTAGTTTTCGGAAACTCCCATATAGGGGTCAGGGTTTAGGCTTTAGGGTCAGTTGTTGACAGCGGTCGTCACGGAGTGCTCTGTCAGTTCCACGAGCTTTTGAGCATCAGCTGCAGGTTTGCGCACGCTGCGCCGCCTGGGAGATGTTGTTCTGAAGGACCATCGGGCTTGCGGGGGAGTCATTCGGGGTCTGCGACTACGGGATTTGGGTCCGGGTGGGTGTTTGTGGGATTTCAGCCAGAACAGCCTGACTCCAAGCCATGTCTATTTGTTGCCGCAGTTGTTTGGCGGAACCGTCGCAGAAAGTTCCCAAAGACGCTCCAAGCTGTTTTTGTGATTCGGGGTCCTTTTTTGCTTAAGCCCTGTAAACACTACAGCTTAAGCCTTGGAGATTAAAACCTCAACCCTACACGCCCCAGAACCGCAATCTTCAACAACCACAATATTTTGGTTTCGTAGTTCAGTAGTGGGGCCGCGGTGCGTGTTGCACCGTGGTGTTTTCCTGGTATGCAGGGTTTGCCGGGGTTTACGGCGGTCGCTCTGATACTTCTGACCCTAAGCCCAGGCCCAAGACCGTTCAGCAAGACACCAAGAAAGAAACCCGGCAGCCGGCTCACCATGCTGCGCTGGCTAGCGCTGAGCTTGTCCGTGTACCTTCTGTTGTGGGCACGCCATGACCCGTAAACCACTCCTGTATCAGAAGCTCTAGGGACCCGGCAAATTTTGGGTACTGCAGGTAGAAAACAGGTAGTGGAGGTGGAACAGGCCACCCAACAACCTTGAAGATTCAGGACCTCATGCCCCGAGCGGCAGACAGTGCAGGTCAGAAGGCGAGACGATGCACCGGTGCAAGAGACGGCAGCAGAAGCACCAGAACTTATGCACTAAAATGTAGGGTTTGTTTGTCTAGAGCCGTGGGGTGCCTCATTTTTGTTCGCTTCCTGCGCAGCTGCAGATTCCAGCACAGACACAGTTTAGGATGCGGTAATATAGCAGCCACAGCCAGGTCAAACAAGTGCACATCTAAATTGGCGGCATATGTAGAAGCAGGACACAGGCGAGTTTATCGGCCGTGCCCAGTTGTTCATGCAGTGGCTCGTAACCCGAACCAAGATGACATCCCACAAGCGTACCCATGAACAATGAAAAAACCTGACTAGGATTGGGACCTTTATGGCTATGAAGTGAAGGTCGCTTTGGCATACCTTCGAGGGTGAACATGTAATACTTGTAGTATAGGGGCTGAACTAGTTACCTATACTATTTTGGGGGTTCCTTATTATAACTATAGTATAATATACCCCGAAAAAATATTCTAAGTATTAAGGCCTCTGTAGGAGGAGGTCTGCACATCGAGTCTTGTCTTCTGCGACGCAAGTTTTACGACCGGTTTTTTCGCAGTGAGGAGGCATCGCAACTGAGCACCTGTCAGCATGTGGGAGGTTCATGGTTGAGGTTTAAGAGACCTGATGCCCAGACCTCATGGCGGCGAAAGCCACCAATTTTTGACTTGACGACTCCTGCACGTCGGCTTTGTTGTGTTGCCCATGGTCTGCGTTTTAATGATTCTCGTGTCTAGTGTTCAGGATTTAGGGCACACCTTGTGATTTTTCGGGTGTAGAAGAGATCCTATGCACCTTCGACCCGAGACCCTAAAACTTCGCGCCGACTCCGCCATTGATATTTCGTTTGCAGTGTAGGGCTTAGAGTTTAGATTTACAGGGCTTTCGGTTTAGGGGTAGGGTTCGGGTTTCGGATTAAGGCTCGCAGATACTACGCTGAATGGTGCCATGTGCATGGCACTTCTCCATAGCGCACCGATCATGTGGCCCGATTTGGGGGAGTCAGCCACGTGCCTTGGAATCCTGACCCCTTAACTTCAGAGCGGAGGCCTTCAGGGTTCAGCAGTTCAGTGTGTCATGATTTCTTTGCGGGTGTAGGACTTAGCGCTTCCAGATTTACGAACATCGAAAAGCCTAGATAGAGTCTTATATGGTCCAAGACTTCATTTCACATCGTTCTATCCATGTGTTTGTCTACCTATTGGCCTATCTATCCGTCTATCTATCTATCTATCTACCTAGCTGTGTATCCATCTACTGTCTGTCTATCTGAATATATCTTGTATCTATCGGCCTATTTAACTATCTATATACCTACCTATCTCTCTCTCTCTCTCTCTCTCTTTATCCGTTTACCTGACTGCCAATCTTTCCATATACCTATTCGCACAAGCTCGTGTAGACCTCCGTAGCTTGGACGCATGCGTACTTACACACATGCGTGCATACATACGTACATACAGACTACAACATGTGTAGAGCAGAACCTGCCCTCGTCCAACTCAATTAGGCTTTCCCCGCTTGCACACCAAGCCCTAGAGTGCTGCTCGAAACGTGCGGGTGTCAGGCTCGCAGTGTCATACAAACCAAAGTGATAACTGCTGCAGTACTCAAGGGGGAGTTGCAGAACCAAAATCTCCATACGCCCGAGGCTGCGAACCATCCGAGCCCTAGCTAAATCCAATGCCCCATACATGTATGCACACCTTGTGCACACACACACACAAAGATACGTAGACAATGAACAAGCAAAGCAAACCAATGACTCGCTCTTTCTCGCTCTATCTGTGTAATGTAGCACATACACATACAGTTATTTCTCCATAGCTGCACACCTAAGTATTCATATGTATATGTACAAGTACATGCATACATGCATGGCATATCTACTTACTTACTAATATACATACATCGTACGTGCGTACATACATACATACATACATACATGCCTAACCACCTGCATACATAGCTGCATGCGTACATACTTGCATGCATACATACCTACATACATACATCCATATATACATGCCTACCTACCTACATACATGCATGCATGCATACACACAAATATAGATAGATGTAGCTACGTATACATACATACCTACATAGCTACTTAGGTACCTATATATGCGCATACGCACATCTACAGGTCTATACGACGGTTTATATATAGGTATATGAAATGCATTCTACGTGTATAGACATGTGATTTCAGTTATGCCTATTTCTATCTAAATGAATTCTTACACGAGTGCTTATGTATCTGTATGTACGAAAATCGTATGTAGGTATATATATATACACACACGTCCTTTTATTTACACATGCGCACGCATGTATGTTTCCATTGAACAAATGAACAGATACGTAATTCCCTAAATACCGCAAGCAAACATAGGCCAGTAACCAAAAGACATATACACACAAATATGTACAGATACATATATACACAGTGTGTACATATGCTGTGCCTATGTGAAGACATAAACACGGAGCCCTTAATCCTCAACTCTTGGTAACTTTGGTCCTGAACAACAGCTGAGAAGAAACAGCTAAACTGCCTAACCTATGACTTACTAGCGCAAGTCCTCCGGGACTCCGATGACTTTGGCCGGCTCCCCTGACAAATGTTGGAGCTCTTTCTGCTCTGGGCCGTTCATCCGCCTTTGGTAGTGCCAGGCAGGTGTGCCAAAGCGGTTTTGGGCTCTCGTACTTCTACTTCATGGTTTTTGCGCTTTAGTGGGCCTTGGAGTGATTGAGATTTGGAACCTATGATGCTTAAACGCTGGTAAAGCCTTATACTTAGATGATCCCCTGCAAAACCCTTATCTGTCGGGTTCCACAGCCCCGGAACGTTTCAAGATGCTTTTGGGGGGTGAGCTGTGCCGGGCCCCCCGGCAACATACGAGTCGGAAGAATGTGTTATCCTGTTTTTTGGGGGTCCTCATTGTGCTTACATATACATATATATATATATATATATATATAGCAAAAACATACCCCAAACAGCCCCATTCCAATTATGAAGGCCCCTATTATGTGAGAAGTTGGGTTTAAACCCCGGCAAAGTTTTGCAACGTAGCGCCAAGCTGCGATCATACTCAACGAGAGCTTGTTGCCTGAACGCCGACCGAAGGTTTGGGGGATTTGGGTTGTGCAGGGTGTTTAGGTTCTTCATGACATTAGGAAGGTTTGTTCGCTTTCCGAGAAGGTTTTGGTGCTTAGGTTTGGCAGGGCATAGTGGCATAGAAACACCCACAGCCGCCATCTTTAAAGGCCGGTTCTAAACCCCCCTTTCAAAAATCGGAAAGTCTCAAGCCTGAAGGCCGTCAAGACTCATACCCATTATCCCACACTCTAATAAGCCACGCTGACGCTAATCCCTAGACCTCCTACCTCTGCAGTCCTAAAGCCCTCACACCTAAAGAACCTAGCATCATGAGAAATCAAACACGATCATCATCTAGGTCATAAAACTACGCAACATCTTTTCACCCTAATACACGGTCATAAGACTCACATAACATCATGTAAGTTATGTATGTATGTATGTATGTATGTACATAAGACTTTCACAGGGTGGTTTTAAGATTTCCATCAGCTGGGCCCGGATGTAATTGGACCGCCGCATGCATTCGCTTGGTTTTTCAGCATTGGCTGAAGGCCTCTGCCTGTCTCTCAGGGACCTTGGCGTGCCTGATGATGAACGTTAGATCTCTTATAGTAAACCTTATAGACCCCTTTAAAGGAACCCCATATGGTAACCCTTAAAGTAACCCTTATTGGAAGAACTCTTGTCATCTTGTGAGTGCTGTTGTTTAAAGGAGGGTTATACTTCTGTGAATGCGTTTTCCGGCGTTGTGGTTGGTTTAGTTGCTGAGGGTTCGGGATTTGGGTATCGAGTTTGTGAGGAAAGCATGCTCCTGGAGCCCAGCACCTGGAATCTAGATACAGCCAAAGAAATCTCCCAACCCCACTCTGAACCCACAACCATAAATTCTAAACCGCGAACCGCCGACCCGTAAACCCAAAGACAGCAATCCACAACCTACACCCCCTAACAATACATCCCCTGCCGTTTTGTGCACAAATCCCGGCATTCCCTGAGCCTTGACCTGAACACCAGAATCCGTAGAACAAATTCCGTGACGTTCATTGTGTCTGTAAGCAAGGGCATGTCGAGTTGCATGCCAAGGCATGCTTCGGTTTGTTTCCTGGCCAGACCAAATCCTGAACGTTCAAACCTTACCCTCAAACCCAAAATTGCAAACCCTAAGCCAACCCTAAACCTTAATCACCAATCCTAAGCCCTT